CCTCTGCTGCTTTCTTACCTTATTCTAGTGTGGTTTCTACCCTCACTCAGGCCTCTAGAATGGTTCCCAATCTTGACTACATGTTTTTTTAAAACAGGCTCCCCCGGGCCTGCCACCAAGGATTTGCTTAACCAACCTCAGATGGGACTGAGGCCTTGGGAACTGGCTAGAACTTTCTGTGCTCCTAACTTGCAGCCAGGGTTGAGAACCACGCCTCTGAGGTCCACAGTGTCTGGGCTTTTAGCCTGAGGAACATATTTCCGCTCTTCTGCCCTGTGACCTCCAACAGGGCCTGACCCTGTGAGTCCTGTGGCTGTGGTAACAAGTTACCACACCCTAGGTGGCTTCAACCAACAGAAACATGTGCCCTGGCAGGTCTGGGAGCCAGAAGTCCAATGTCAAGATGTTCTCAGAGCCACACGCCCTCTGAAACTCTCGGGGTGGGGGGATCCATTCTTTGCCTCTTTTGGCTGCTGGTGGTTCCAGGCATTCCTTGGCTTGTGGCCGCATCAATCCAGTCTCTGCCTCTGAGGTCATGTTGCTGCTTCTTCTTGCGTCTGTCTCTCTTAAAACTCTGCTTCTCCCTTAAAAGGGTACATGTGATTGTATCTAGGGCCCAACCAGATAATTCAGGATAAACTCTTTCTGTCAAAACATTTAATAATCACACTTTGCCATATAAGGTAATTTTTTTTTTTTTTTGAGATGGAGTTTTGTACTTTCACCCAGGCTGGACTGAAGTGGCATGATCTCAGCTCACTGCAACTTCTGCCCCATGGGTTCAAGCAATTCTCCTGCGTCAACCTCCCAAGTACCTGGGATTATAGGTGCCAGCCACCATGGCCAGCTAATTTTTATATTTTTATTAGAGACAGAGTTTTGCCACGTTAGGCTGGTCTCAAACTCCTGACGTCAGGTGATCCACTCGCCTTGGCCTCCCAAAGTGCTGGAATTACAGGCATGAGCTACCATACCCGGCCATAAGGTAATATTTTCTTTTTTGAGGGGGAGTCTTGTTCTGTTGCCCAGATTGGAGTGCAGTGGCTCAATCTTGGCTCACAGCAACCTCTGCCTCCCAGGTTCAAATGATTCTCCCACCTCAGCCTCTCGAGTTGCTGGGACTACAGCTGCATACCACTATGCCTGGCTGATTTTTGTATTTTTAGTAGAGATGGGATTTCACTATGTTGGCCAGGCTGGTATTGAACTCCTGACCTCAAGTGATCCCAAAGTGTTGGGATTATAAGCGTGAGCCACCACACATGACCCATATAAGATAATATTTACAGGTTCTGGGGATTAGGATTAGCATATAGACAGCTTTGTGGGGGCTGCCATTCAGCCCACTGTGTTACCCCTGTGAACCACTGTTCACCTGTCCCTGACATCTGACAGCATTCTGCACACCACACACCTGCCCACCTCTCTGGCTGTGATTCAGGCTTGGCCTCTTCCATAAAGCCACTAAGTGCTGGCGCTGGTCAAAGCTTCATCCTAGGCCTTTTCCTTACCTCCATTGATGTTCTCTCCCTAGATGAGCTCCTTCAAGCTCATGGCTTCCGTGCTCACCCACATTGCCACCTATATTCCCAGCTTGGGCTTCTCAGGACAGCTCTAGACTCTTGCACCCCATTAGCTTCCTCCCTTTACCTTTGGATATCTCAAAGGCATCTCCAGTTGGCCGGCCGAGGTGGTTCACACCTGTAATTCCAGCACTTTGGGAGGTTGAGGTGGGAAGATCACCTGAAGTCAGGAGTTCAAGACCAGCCTGGCCAACATGGTGAAATCCCATCTCTACTAAAAATACAAAAACTAGCCAGACTTTGTGGTGGGTGCCTGTAGTCCCAACTACTCAGGAGGCTGTGGCAGGAGAATCGCTTGAACCTGAGAGGTGGAGGTTGCAATGAGCTGAGCTAGAGCCACTGCACTCCAGCCTGAGTGAGAGAGTGGAACTCCATCTCAACAAAACAAAAGGCATCTCCAGTTTAACATAACTAAGACCAAACCAATCCTGCCTTCCTCCCCCACATCCTACCTTCTGGAGGGAGATCCAGGACTTGGTCTTCTCTTCCAGGGTCCTCTGTCTCAAACTGCAGGAATCACTGCCCACCCAAACCGAACCTGCAGTGTGATCCTTGGCATCTTCCATCCACCAGTTCTTCCCCTATGCACCTCACAACCCTGGTCCAAGCCACTGTGGTCTTTCAAATGACTGCATAGCCTCTAACTGGCCTTGTATGAGCCATCCTCTTTCTCTAACCAGCTTCCAACCCTGCAATGCCTTCTCTGTGCTTTCGAGACAAAGCCTGACTCGTTGTGGCCTGCACAGCCCTCCCTGGGTGGTCTTACCCTGCAGCCTCTCCAGTCCCGTGAACCCTCCCTTCTCTGAACCTGTATTTAATTCCTCACACACGCCATTTTCTCCTGCCACAGGGCCTGGCACATGCTGTTCCCTCTGCCTGGAATTTTCTTCCCGCCTCCCTCTGAACCCCTGGTGGGTTCTTCTCTATCCTCGCCTTTTAGCTCAGGCTCAAGGTGGGCCCTCTAGCTGTGTTCACATCTCTTGTTTGTTACCCTCTGTCATAGGACTGTGTTTGTGCTTCCAAAGCATCGTCTTGGTTTGTGACTGTATGTGTTCCCAATTGCTTAACGCCTTTCCCACTTTGGGGCCTGTACAAGCCCCAGGAAAAGGATTTGGACCCTTCTGTTTAACTCTACAATCTAGCATCCAGCAGGAGCACAGGCCTTCATTGACTTTTATTTTTGAGACAGAATTTTGCTCTTGCTGCCCAGGCTGGAGTGCAGTGGTAAAATCTCGGCTCACTGCAGCCTCTGCCTCTCGGGTTCAGGCACTTCTCCTACCTCAGCCTCCTGAGTAGCTGGAATTACAGGCATGTGCCACCATGCCTGGCTAAGTTTTCATATTTTTAGTAGAGATGGGGTTTTGCCATGTTGGACAGGCTGGTCTCGAACTCCTGGCCTCAGGTGATCCTCCCACCTCAGCCTCCCAAAGTGGTTGCATTATAGGCATGAGCCACCACGCCCAGCCTTCATTGACTTTTAGTTGACAGCTATTTAGCATTTGCGATGTGCCAAGAACTACCCGTGCACTAACACGGTTAACCCTCACGGAGCCTAGGAGGAAGGACTATCATTATCCCCATTTAACAGATGAGGATGCTGAGGCACAGGGTCATGCTGGGAGTGAGTGGAGGAGCCGAGATTCCAGCTCTAACTGCATGTGCTATACAGTGTGACTCTAGCTCACTGGCTGGGCCCTCTCCATAGCCCTGTGAGGGTTAAGGATAGAAAACAGAGGCTCAGAGAGATGAGGCCTCTTGCCTGAGGTCACACAGCTGGTTGGCTGTTCCCTGGGCTATAAGCTTCAGTATTCCCAATGCTGAGCGTATTTTGAGAACCTGAGAAACATTTGGCTGAGTGGGAACTGAACTCATTTTGTCAAGGAATCCAACAACTCAACTGGCCCCGAGCCTGGGGGTGAGGACCCCTCGGTCCCTTGCCAGCTGGATGACCTCGGGAGAGATCTGATGACTCTGAGATCCTGCTGATAGGACCTCTGGTGTCTCTGTTCCCTGCTGGCCTCCCATGGGCGCGGGCTGGGTTTCCTCTGTAGGAGGCAGCTCATGGATATGCGCCTACATGCCCCTGGGCCAGCAGTTCCTTGGCCAGGCAGTTCCCATTCCTGCCTGAGCCAGGGCAGCCAACTTATCCAGCTCTCAATGTTCCCCATCCCAGCATGAGATGTCAGCTGAGAGTTTTCTGGATCTCCCCTGGCTGGGGGGAAAGCTTCCATCATTTGGAACGGGAACAGCAAAAACAGCAAAGTCCCTTTCCCCACCATCTCCCACTGCCTGCTGTGCTTCATGATAAACACCCTGGCTGAGTGGCAGGGGCTATTTGCTTTGGGCTGTCCATGTCCACCTACACTGTCCTTTGTAATCTTTACAATTTTTCTTGGATAGGGGAGCATAATATTCCACTGTTTCTCAGTTGAGGAAACCGAGGCTCAGAGAGGTGAAGTGTCTTGTCTGAGGTCACACAGCCAAAGAAGGGGCAGAGCTGGGAGTCCAGCCTCATGGGCTACCTCCAAGGACCCTGCTCTTAAACTCTAGAGTACTAGAAAGATCTTGTATTGCCTAATATTGATTCCTGATAAGCTATGCCTGAGTAGCATCTCCTTTTGAAAATGGAGCCTGAGTTGGTCACAGTGGTGCATACCTGTAATCCCAGCACTTTTGGAGGTCAGGAGTTTGAGACCAGCCTGGCCAACATGGCGAAACCCCATTTCTACTAAAAATACAAAAATTAGCCGGGCATGGTGGCACCTGCCTATAGTCCTAGCTACTCAGGAGGCTGAGGCACAAGAATCACTTGAACCTGGGAGGCAGAGGCTGCAGTGAGCCAAGATTGTGCCACCGAACTCCAGCCTGGGTGAAAGAGCGAGACTCCATCCATCTCAAAAAGACAAGAAAATAGATTCTGAATTTTGAAATATACTGTGGCTCTTCCCTAGTTCAGGACATCCCTGGGTCAATCCCTTTTGTTAAAATAGTTTATTTAGTTGGCTGAGAGCAAGAGCTGCCTACGTGACCTGGAGCACAGGCCTTGAACTTGGGCTTCGGTTAGAACTCCACCTCTGCCACTCACCCGCTGCAATTAAGAACAGAGATACTGGGTTGGACTCCTGCTTCTATGACTTGCATGCTGTGTGGCCTTGGATGAGATATCTAACCTCTCTGAACCTCAGTGTCCTCAATCATGAAAGAGATAGAGATAACAGCTGAACCCCTTCCCCAGGAGCGGATTAAACAAGATAGTGCAGTACAGAGTTTACCGAGGTGTATGGAGTCAGTGGTCGGCCAGTAAATGGTAGCTAATGGTTATCATGATTAATGTTAACATTAAGCTCTGAAAGTTCCTTTGGGAACTCATAGGGATTTGTTCTCTCTCCCTTTCTCTCTCCCTCTGCCTCCTTTCAGGTAGAACTGCATGTCCACCTAGATGGAGCCATCAAGCCTGAAACCATCTTATACTATGGCAGGTAAGTCCATAGAGAAGAACGCTCTCTCCCTGAGATTTGGTGGGGGCCACAGCGACACCCCGAGGCCCCTGGGGAATCCCAGGGTCACTGTTCCTTCCTGTATCCCTGTGGAAATCAAGCTCCAGGCCAGAAGTGGGGCTGTGGGGTTGCAGGGGCCTGGGCACTGAGCTGGAGACCTGCAGACCAGCTCCTCAGCCTCTGGGCCTCTGACTCTTGCCCTGCTAGTGTCAGGTGAGCCAGGCCTGAGCCTGTTCTCCCCACCCACCCACATACATGCATGAAGGTAGTTCCCAGAGCTGAATCAGTCTGTCTTTTTTTTTTTTTTTTTTTTTTTTTTTTTTTTTTTTTGAGACAGAGTCTTGCTCTGTCCCCCAGGCTGGAGTGCAGTGGCACAATCTTGGCCCATACAACTTCTGCTTCCCAGGTTCAAATGATTCTCCTGCCTCAGCCTCCCAAGTAGCTGAGATTACAAGTACACACCACCACATCCAGCTAAATTTTTTTTTTTTTTTTTTTTGAGACAGTTTCGCTCTTTGTTAGCAGGCTGCAGTGCAGTGGAGCGATCGTGGCTCCCTGCAACCTCTGCTTCCTGGGTTCAAGTGATTCTCCTGTCTCAGCCTCCTGAGTAGCTGGGATTTCAGGTGCCCACCACCACAACTGGTCCAATTTTTGTATTTTTAGTAAAGATGGAGTTTCACCACGTTGGTCAGGCTGGTCTCGAACTCTTGACCTCAGGTAATCTGCCCATCTCAGCCTCCCAAAGTGCTGGGATTACAGGCGTGAGCTACCACACTCGGCCTAATTTTTGTATTTTTAGTAGAGACAGGGTTTCACCATGTTGGCCAGGCTGGTCTCCAACTCCTGACCTCATGTGATCCACCCAGCTTGGCCTCACAAAAGTGCTGGGATTACAAGTGTGAGCCACCATGTCTGGCCCCTGTCGTTTGACTTGGCTGAGAGCCTGTAGCAGGTGATGTGCCCACAGGAGATGCCAGTACTGTTTGTTGAGCATCTCCTAAAGCTGGGCTGGACTGTACCAGCTCACTGAACCCCTCACTGAACACACTCAGAAGAGGAAGATACACTCTGCATTTTACTGAGGTGGGAATGGGATCAGACAAGACAGTTGCCCAAGGCCACACAAGTTAACAGCAGATCAAGAGTTGAACCCAAGGCAGTCTGACCCTAAGGCTTTACTACATCATCAGGGTCATAACCTGCTAGGAGTCACGGAAAAGTGGTTCCCTCTCTCTGGACCCAAATCTCTGCATTTTCCAAGTGAGAACACATTTCCTGCTTCAGCTCTCAGGGATGCTGGTGGACCAGAGGGTCGCCCTGTTCCCCAGTGAGGAGGGTTCTTCCCTTCCTAGCCAGACCTCAAGGGCTCACGGCAGTTCCTCTTTTAGGACTAGCATTTAAGAGCAGGAACTTTGGGTGACTCACGCCTGTAATCCCAACACTTTGGGAGGCCCAGGTGGGGGTGGATCACCTGAGGTCGGGAGTTCAAGACCAGCCTGATGAACATGGAGAAATCCCATCTCTACTAAACATAAAAAAAATCAGCCAGACGTGGTGGTGCATGCCTGTAATCTCAGCTACTCAGGAGGCTGAGGCAGGAGAATCGCTTAAACCTGGGAGGCGGAGGTTGTAGTGAGCCAAGATCCTGCCATTGCACTCCAGCAGCCTGGGCAATAAGAGTGAAACTCCATTTCAAAAAAAAGTGCAGGGACCTTGAAGGCCAGTGGATCTGGAGTCAAATCTGGACACATTACCTCCTGTCTGTGAACTTGGTCTCTATCAACTGAGGCTAAGAACAGGGCCCTCCCTGACAGCTGACCTAGGAGACGGGCTCCTCATCCACACAGCCCTGCCCCGGCAGACCCGTGTCTCTTACATGTTTGCACAACACTCATTATGTTTGGAGCTGGAAGAACTCAGCCTCTCCCCTATGGTCTTGAAATTCAACTCTGGACCCAAATTTGAACATTTCTGCTCCATAAGCCAGAATCCTGTTATTCAGAGGCCTCCCCTGGGGAGAGAATGCGGGATTCCTGGGAGGCTGCTGCCCCAGCTCTGGGAGCATCTCCACCAACTCCCTGGGAGAGTTCTGGAAAGTCCACTCTTCTCCATCTGTTCGCACTTCCAGGGAACAACTTCTACTCCAAGAAGCTGCCATTGATTTAATTTATATTTAACTGCATGGCATAAGCATATTGGCATCTCCTGTGTGCCAAACACTTCTTTAAATGCTTTACCTGGGTTATTAAATCCTCCCAACAACTTGTAAGATAGGGACTTTATTGCTATCAATTTACCGATGAGGAAACTGAGCTGTGGTAGGGGAGTAACTTGCCCAGTAAGCACAGGGCAGAGGTTTGAACCCAGATGGTCTCCCCGAGTCCATGCCCCTGGCCATTAACCCCTGCCAGTTAGAGGTTTCGGTGAGGTGACGCACATGACATGCTTAGTTCAGGCCCATTAATGTGCTCCATAAATGTCACTTAATGATAATATTCTTATTAATTAGAACTTATGTCTCTAAGTGGGGTGAAGCTTATCTCTGCCTGGCCTTTGCCCATGTCAAGCTGCCAACTTGCCACAAGGCCCCTAATGAGGTTGTTCAGGGGGGCATCAAGATGAGATTGAACGGAGTCACTCATTAAGGGGTCACAGAGGGCTCATCGGCTGTAGCCAGGGGCTGGGAGTGCTGGGTGGGTCCAAGAGACAGGGGAAAGGAGTCGCCGGGAGGGGCACCAGTCTGATCATCCATTTCTCACACCACCTCTGGGGCCTGGAGATGACGTCCGGCAGGTGCCAGCTGGAGCGTGGCCTGAAGTCAGCAGGCAGGGGGATTGGAGAGTTTCTTACACTCAGATATGGGGAGTGGGCTGAGAATGGAGGGAAGAGGGGACCCCCTGGCCTGAGCCCTGCTAGGCCCAAGTCAGTAGCCCTTTTCCCAGCTCTGGAACTCAGGCCTGCCTCATTAACTGTTCTCACCCATTGCTTCTTCCTCCAGCTTCTGGGACTCTGCCCTCTTCAGGGGATTCTCTAATCTCGTTCTCCATCTTGTTCATAACCCTGTCAGCTATTGCGCCAAAGATTCTGAACCTGGCTGCTCTTTCCTCCTGTCACCACCGTGGTCTGGGCCACCGCTGCCCCTCACTGGTGCTGTGGTCTTCGGATGGGTCTCAGCCATCTACTCTGGCCTTCCTCTCTGCAGGCCCTGCAGTGCTGTAGCTGGAGCAAGAGTCTTAACCCATGATCTTCCCAGCTCATTCCCCTGCTCAAGACCCCCACCTCACTCGGGGTCAAAGCCAAAGTCCACACACGGGCCTTAAAGTTCTGCCAAGCCTGCACTGCCTCTCTGAGCTCTCTACGGCTCCTTGCTTAGTCCACACTGGATATTTTTCAAACATGCCAGACCGAGTAAACACAGAGGGTGGGTAACTTTCCCAGGGTCCCATAGCCTTTAAGTCACAGAGCTGGGATTCAAACCCAGACCACTGAGCTTCAGAGTCTGCTGTCTTTCTCATGACACACACACAGTTTCATTTCTTCCTCTGTGCACCCTTATAAAGAAAATATTTTTTACTGATGTGATAAATAGGGCTGGGAGATGGACTTGACCTGCAACCCCCTGAGCTCATCATCCCTCCCTGGGCTCCTGAGGGTGGGCTTCTTGTGGCTGTGTTGCCCACCGAGGCAGGAAGAAGACCAGACAATGCCCCAGGGCAGCAGCTGTGGCTGACCAGGGAGTAGGCATCAACTAAGAAAAGAGCGTGCACAGTGGCTCACATCTGTAATCCCAGCCCTTTAGGAGGCTGAGGTGGGTGAATCACATGAGGTCAGGAGTTCGAGACCAGCCTGGCCAACCAACCTGGTGAAACCCTGTTAGTTGTTGACAAAAAATTAGCCGGGGGTGGTGGCGGGTATCTGTAATCCCAGCTACTCAAGAGGCTGAGGCAGGAGAATCACTTGAACCAGTGAGCAGAGGTCGCGCCACTGTACTCCAGCCTGGGCAGCAAGAGCTAGACTCCGCCTCATACACATACAAAAAAAGTGTGGCCTTATGAGGAGCCTTGGCTTCTATGGGCAGCCGGGGACAGCAGGAGGTGCCAGGGCCCTAAGAACAACTCTATCCTGCTTCAACTTTGGGCCCCAGATGGGGCTTTCCAGCTTTGTCTGAGCAGCTTCTGGAGGCCGAGTCCCATGGGAGACACTGGAAGTCCCCTGTGCTGTCTGTCTCCAGTCGGGCCCCTGCATTCGTGCTCTGGCCTCAGCTCTGGCTTCCCGCCAGTTTCCCACACAGCAGCCAGAGGAGCTTTTAAAAAGGTAAATCATTTCATGCTAGTCCTGTTTGAAATCTTACTGTGCCTTCCCAGTGCTTTCAGGCAAAGCCCCAGCGCCTTCCTTAGTCCAGCCTAGCCCTGCCCTCCCAGGCGCCTCATCTGTACAAATGCCTGCTCTCTGAGAGCCAGACACCCTTCGCTTCCAATGCTCGCCACTGCCTGCCTGCAGTCTTTGCATGGACCCCTCCCCTGCCCAGAACCACCTCCATCCCAAGGCTTCTGCTTAAATGTCACCTCATTAGAGAGGCCTTCCCTGGCTGCTCTATGTAAACTCTGTTGAAAAGGTCTTGTTAGATTTGAGGAGTGTTGGAAATAGAAGTTAGAAACAGAAGCCCGGTGCTGCCAAGAAAAATCAGCACTGAGACAAAGGATCTTACAGCAATGCAATTTTTACTTCCTGTACTGCAGGAAGAGTACCCTCACTAGCCATTGTGCCACAAGAGTACAATGAACAAAGGAAAACAGACAAATTTATCCCTTACACATTTGGGGTCATCCTTACTGCTGTGTTTGATTTCCGTTGGCTACAGCCAGACCTTACCATTTAAACTAAAACCTGATTGGCTAATAACTTAAAACTTTTTTAAAGAGGTAAAAACCATGGAGAGTTGGGACATGTCTGTGAGCACCTCCAGCACAGTTATCTTGGTTAAAGTACAAGGACATAGAACGTACTATGTGCCTGTAAGCATGGCATGTCTAACAGCTACATAGGATAAGGCTTAACAAATAGTTATTAGCACACTTACTCTTTTTTTGTTTTGTTGAGATGGAGTTTCACTCTTATCACTCAGGCTGGAGTGCAATGGCTCGATCTCTACTCACTGCAACCTCTGCCTCCTAAGTAGCTGGGATTACAGGCGTGAACTACCACGCCCAGCTAATTTTTGTATTTTTAGTATTTTTGTATTTTGTATTTCTCCCTATTGGCCAGGCTGGTCTCGAACTCCTGACCTCAGGTGATCTGCCCTCCTCAGCCTCCCAAAGTGCTGGGATTATAGGCGTGAGCTATTGCGCTCAGCAGGACACTTACTCTTTAACAAGAAAAGAAACTTTGAAAAGGAACTTTTCTACTTCTCACAAGCAGGGAGGCTGGAGGAGAATCAAAGAGGAGAAATAGAAAGCAAAATCATTTGTTCTTGGGGACTGGCTGGCGGTGGGCAAGGGGAGGCACCCGTCTCTGGTGTGGGCAGCTGGGTAGGTGGAGGAGCCGTATTTGGAAATGTGGAACCAGGGAGGGGAGCGATCTAGAGGAAGGGGAAAGGTGGCATGAGATGCCTGCCTCCCAACTGGCAGTCAGACACAGGGGTCCATCTTGGTCACTGCTCTCTGCCCAGCACCCAGCACATCACAGGCCCTCAGGGGTGGTGTGTGGGTATAAAGGGTTAGAAGCTGTGGACCTCTGGATCCTAAGCTGAAGACCACCAGAGGAGATGAGTTGACCTGGCCAAGTGTGTAAAAGGCAGAGTCTGAGAGAGAGTGGCCAGAGGGAAGAGCCCCCACAGGTGGAGTCTCTGGAGTTGAAGGGAGACCCTTGGGAGCATCACACACAGCGGGTGCAGCAGGCCCTAGGCAAATGTGGTCACTGGGTTTGGCAGTATGGAAGCCAGAGCCCTAGTGTCATCTCCCTGCCTTTACTCAATAATTCTCAGAGTGATATCCAAAACAGTGTTTGACAACTGGTACAGGTTCTTCAGGGGCCACAGTTACTGGGCAAAGCCTTGCAAGGGTGACTGGGGCAGCTGGCCAGCAGCGGGAGTGCCAGTGCTGTACTGGGGTACCATTTCCCCCAAGGATCTCAGAGGGATTGGAGCAGCTAGGGAGCCATGGTGGGCTGACTGGCAGGCTGATGGGCACCAGGGTGACTCCTTGGTGGTACCCTCTGTGCGCTCTTGGGGACTGGGGCTAACAGGGAAGGGAGCACACTCAAGGGGTTTAGAAAACATTTATGTAGGGAAACATACATATATATATAAATTTTTTTTTTTTTTTTGAGACAGAGTCTTGCTTTGTTGCCCAGGCTGGCATGCAGTGGTGCGATCTTGGCCCACTGCAGCCTTGACTTCCCAGGCTCAGGTGATCTCCTACCTCAGACTCCCGAGCAGCTGAGACTACAGGTGTGTGCCACACACCTGGTGAATTTTTGTGTTTTGAAGGGGTTTTACCATGTTACCCAGTCTGATCTTGAACTCCTGGGCTTAAGCCATCTGCCTGCCTTGGCTTCCCAAAGTACCGGGATTACAGGTGTGAGCCACTCCGCCCAGCCTCCTATTTTTCTGTTCTTGCTTTGTGGATAATTGGATGCTTGGCCCTCCTGATTTAATCTTATCATTTTCTTAACTGTTTACTCCTATTTTTCTGTTCTTGCTTTGTGGATAATTGGATGCTTGGCCCTCCTGATTTAATCTTCTCATGTTCTTAACTGTTTACTCCTATTTTTCATCATCTTGCCTTTTTGTTCTACTTTGTGGAGGATTTCTTCACTTTTAGCTTCCAGTTCTTTTATTACATTCGGACGGTTGCTACCATATCCTCTATTTATTTATTTTACTTTAAGTTCTGGGTACATGTGTAGCTCGTGCAGGTTTGTTACATAGATATACCTCTTTTAAATTTGAGAGCTCTTTCTTATGTTCTGAATGTTCCCTTGTTTCACGGATGTGATGTCTTCTCATCTCTTTGAGGATACTCATTTATTTTCTGTTTTGGTTCTTAGGTTTTTGTCTATTCTCTGCATTGTTTCCTCAAAGTGTTTTTTGTCTATTCTCGTTTTGTCCCTCATGTTAGAAGCATTTCTTAATTTCTGGTGTTCTCTAGCTGTCCCTTTTATCTTTAAAAAAAAAAAAAAAAAGGGAAAACTGAGGCTCAGGGTGACCTTGTGAGCTGGAGCAGAGCCGGGATAGGAGGAGGAGGCAGGAGTGTGTACAGAAGGGAGGAAGCCAGCTGGGCACAGTGGCTCACGCCTGGAATCCCAGCACTTTGGGAGGCCAAGGCAGGCAGATCACAAGGTCAGGAGGTCAGGATGTCCTGGCCAACATGGTGAAACCCTGTCTCTACTAAAAATATGAAAATTAGCTGGGCTTGGTGTGCATCTGTAGTCCCAGCTACTCAGGAGACTGAGGCAGAATTGCTTGAACCCAGGAGGCAGAGGTTGCAGAGAGCTAAGATCACACCACTGCACTCACACCTGGGGGAAAGAGCGAAACTCCATCTCAAAAAACAGAAAGGAGGAAGCCCCCTCCGAGCTCTCACCCTGCTTTCCAGAGCTGGGAGGGGAGGCTGAGAAGCTTGGGAAGAAATGGAGGTCCAAGCCAGGGGGGCTGTTTCCAGCACACCCTTACTAAGTGCTGCTATAGTCCAGCCCACTGTGGGGACTGTGGACAGGGAAGGGAGAGAGGTCTGAGCTGGATGGCGGCCCAATGGGCCCTTCCCCTGAGCTTCCACCAGCCCTCTCCCAGTGCACTGGGCCAGGCAAGCCTCTGATATGCCAGCCAGTTGGAGGGCGGAGGACGGAAATCCTGACGCCTGCCTCTACCCTGGGAATTGTGATGCTGCAGTTACTGCCCCTGATAACCCCAGACTGGGCATAGTACCAGCTGGCTGTGCCAGCTCCTGGGGCTGATGAGGAAATCATGAGCTTGCCTTGTACTTTCCTTGTCTCCAAGCATCCGTCCACCAGGGATATGGAGGGGGTGCGTACACAGGCGTCCATGTATGTATGCATGTGCATACACACACACAACTTCAACCTGTTTATCCCCCTTGAGATTTGCTGACTTGTGGCTGGGCGCAGTGGCTCATGCCTGTAATCCAAGCACTTTGGAGGCCAAGGTGGGCGGATCACCTGAGGTCGGGAGTTCAAGAGATTTGCTGACTTGTGCATTTGGGGCAGAGGGTGCTGGAAGAATTCTGGTCCTGGTTCTCAGTTTCCCCATCTGGTCAATGGGAACAGCTGGACTGGGAGATCCCCATGTCTCCTGCTGTGGTCCTGCAAGGAGGCTGGTGCTCCTGAGTTTGCTCCATCTGGACTATCAGGCTGGTTGGATCCTGCCCCGGGTTGGTCTACTAGTCACTGTTTTGTTTCCAGGAGGAGAGGGATCACCCTCCCAGCTAACACAGCAGAGGGGCTACAGAACATCATCGGCATGGACAAGCCGCTCTCCCTCCCAGGCTTCCTGGCCAAGTTTGAGTACTACATGCCAGCTATCGCGTGAGTTGCCCCCAACCTGCAGGTCCTGGGGCAGCATCAATTCCTATGACTAGGACCAGGCCTGTCCCTCAGCCTGTGGGGGCCGGAGAAGGAGCTCTGGGACCCTGACTGGCTTTCTCACCATTGTATACACTTAGTGAGTCTCTCCAGTGCCTTTAGGCTTCAGTCTTGCCTTCTGAGATGTGCATGTGATAGGCTGAAATTGCTTTAGCTTCTACAGACAAATGGCAGAATATAAGAGTTAAGAACACAGATCTGGCCAGGCGTGGTGGCTCATGCCTGTAATCCCAGCACTTTGGGAGGCCAAGGCAGGAGGATCACTTGAGGTCAGGAGCTGGAGACCAGCCTGGCCAACATGGTGAAACTCTGTCTCTACTAAAAATAAAAAAATTAGCCAGGCATGGTGGTGCATGCCTGTAATCCCAGCTACTTGGGAGGCTGAGGCAGGAGAATCTCTTGAACCTGGGAGGCAGAGGTTGCAGTAAGTCGAGATCATGCCATTGCACTCCAGCCTGGGCCACAGAGTGAGGCTCTGTCTCAAAGGAAGAAAGGAAGGAAGAAAGAAAACAGATCCTAGTATTAGACTTTCACAAAATAACTATGACATTGGATAAAATTACCCTTTCTGGGCCTCATTTCCCTCATCTCTACACTAGGGCTTGTGATCTTCCTGCCTCACAGGCTGGAGTTGGACCAGGCCCAGCACTGTCCTCAGGCCGCCCCCTCTTGCTTTGAAGAAAACGGCAACCTTTACTGACAGGCACTGTTAGATCAGCTGTCATGGCTTCCATTTCTTAACCGCAGAATATCTCCAGCATGACACTCACCTTTTGTAGCTGTCAACGGTCCTATAAGGTAGACACAATCTTCGTTTGCAGATGAGGAAATGGAGGCTCAGGGAAGTAACAGAGCTCACCCAGGACCATGCAGCTGGCAAGGGGTGAAGCCCAGATACTTGCCCTAGTGCCACTTTAAGCTTCCTGGCATGAGGCAGGCAAGAGTTTGGCCTTGGCAGTCACTGCTGCAGGAGCTCAGGAGGGGGAAAGGTAGAGGGGCCGGGGGCACTTGGGGAAGGCTTCCTGGAAGAGGAAAAGCAGGCTGGGCCTTGAGGAACGGAGAGGGTGTGTGATCTCGTCCAGAGAGCTCGATGCAGGGATGGTTTGGAGGCTGGGCCAAGTACAGATTGTTGGAGACCGGTGAACCAAGTCTTTGAGACAGATGGAGGCCACTGGCTGGGACAGAAATGAGGAGTCCTGGGGAAGGAAGATGTGTGCAGGGTGCAGAAGATGTGGTGCAGAAGCCTTTGCGCTCAGCCTGGAAGGTACCGACTGCCCTTATCCTTGGCCCTGGTGGGCAGATGCACAGGCGCACCCATGCTGCCTCCCTGGGGTACCTGATGTGTCTCCTAGAGACACTGCCACAGTGAGACACACGTGTAGGTGGAGCTTCTGTACACACTGAGGCATGTCATGGGGACACGCCACCCTACAGGCAGGTTCTACCTCTCTATCCTTGAAACAGAAGAGTCCCATCCCTGAAGGCCTGCGCTGGGCAGGCTGTCAGCCACTGTCTCATCTGAAGCTGCCTGGCCTTTCGGGCTTGACCTCCCCTGACTTCCTTGCCACCATCCACAGATGTTGGATGAAGTTCGAGCCCTCTGGTAGAAGTAAACTGAGGCCCAGGAAGACACAGGGTCAAAAACAATATAGGGCTTGAAACTGGCCCATCTATCTCTTAGTTTAGGGCCTTGTATTGTGAGCAGAGGGGAGGCCTGAATGTGAGATGGGGGCGGGAAGAGGCACGAAGATTCTCTCAAAGGCTTTTTCTTTTTTCCTGTCTGGAGTCACTGGGGAGCATTGCTAGGTACTGAAAAGGCCCAGAAGGGGTATGGGCAAGTGCTACAGAGAAATTCAATGATGCATTCATTCATTCATTGAGACAGTGTCTTGCTCTGTCTCCCAGGCTGGAGTGCAATGGCACTATCTCGGCTCACTGCAACCTTCACCTCCCAGTTTAAGGGATTCTCCTGCTTCTGCCTCCCAGGTAGCTGGGATTACAGGCACCCACCATCATGCCCTGCTCATTATTTTGTATTTTTAGTAGAGATGGGGTTTTACCATGTTTGCCAGGCTGATCTCGAACTCCTGACCTCAAGTGATCCACCCACCTCAGCCTCCCAAAGTGCTGGGATTACAGGTGTAAGTCACCACACCCGGCCTCCATCCTCATCCTGGAGATTCGAGAACTTCACATGACGCCTTCTTCTGAGAGTGGCTGCTCTGCCCTGGGGCAGGGCACTTTCTTCCCGTGCTGGGCCCTCCCGGTACTGTGTGTCTCCCTCACGAATTCTAGTAACCACTTCATTTTCACTCTTCACCGAGTCCACCGTCATGTAATCAACACAGTGGCCCTGACAGGCCAATTAGTGCCTTGCTTCTGGAGCAAAGACGCAGTAATCAAAACCAAAATGTTTGAGCATGTGTCTGCTCTGCTCCATGCCTGGGAGGGGTTGAAGAAGTTTGATTCCTTTGTCCCCACAATAACTCTTTGATGTACGTGACAGAGGGTGACTAAGCAGGGGCCACACAGCAGATAGGTGTGGGTACAAGGGTTCAAGTCCATGACTATATCCTGGGTGTCCCCCCATCCAAGCGTCCCTCTGGACTTGTCCAGCTGTGTCCTTTTCTCTTACTTCTCTTCCCTGCCAGCCTTATCTCCATCACCAACAAATATTTGGCTACTCTGTCCTAGGCACGGTCCTTAGCTGAGAGGTCACAGCTGTGACAAGACAGAGGAGTCCTTGCCACATGGAGACTGCATTCTAGTAGGAGATACTGCAAACTGGCTGAGAAGTCATATGACACACAGTGCTGAGTGGTGATAAGGACCTGGGAGTAAAAGCCCCAGAGAATGGTGGAGGGGTCATTTTAAGGCGGTCTGGGCCGGGCGTACCCGGTGGCTCATGCATGTAATCCCAGCACTTTAGGAGGCTGAGGCAGGCAGATCACGAGGTCAGGAGATTGAGACCAGCATGGCTAAGACGGTGAAAACCCATCTCTACTAAAAATATAAAAATTAGTCAGGCGTGGTGGCACGCACCTGTATTCCCAGCTACTTGGGAGGCTGAGATAGGAGAATCACTTGAACCCAGGAGGCAGAGGTTGCGGTGAGCTGAGATCATACCACTGCACTCCAGCCTGGTCAACAGAGCAAGACTCTGTCTCAAAAAAAAAAAAAAAAAAAAAAGGATAAGGCAGTCTGGCTGGGCGCGGTGGCTCACGTCTATAATCCCAGCACTTTGGGAGGCTGAGACGGGTTGGGTAGATCACCTGAGCTCAGGAGTTCGAGACCAGCCTGGCCAACATAGCGAAACCCTATCTCTACTAAAAATACAAATATTAGCTGGGTATGTTGGTGTGCGTCTATAATCCCAGCTACAGAGGCTGAGGCACGAGAATCACTTGAACCTGAGAGGCAGAGGTTGCAGTGAGCTGAAATTGCGCCACTGACTCCAGCCTGAGCAACAGAGCAAGACTCTATCTCCATAAAAAGATAAAGTGGTCAGGGAAGGCCTCTCTGAGGAGGTGAAGCTTGAGCTGGCTCTAAACCAGGGGACTGGAGAGAGACACAGTGTGGGACAGTATCAGGGAAGAGCAGGCCTGCAGACGCAAAGGCCTGGAGTGGCAACAAGCTTGACTGTCCTTAGATAGAAAGAAGGCTCTGGTGGCCTCGGGGAATGAGCGAGAAGGAAGGTAGGGGAGGCTGTCGAGGCCTGGAGGATGCATGCCTTTGGGTGGGATCTGGGAGTTGCAATTTCATTCTCTGTGGCAGGAAGCTATTGGGGCTTGGAGGGGAGAAGTGATATGCTTTGATTTACCTTCTTAAAAGATTGTCTCAGGTGCTGGGTGAAAAACAGGATGACAGAGGCCAGCATGGAGACAGGGAGGCCAGTTAGAGATGGCATGATTCAAGCCAGGACAGAAGGGTGAGAACTGTAACGCACTTCCGAAGTAGAGCTCATAGGACTTGCCCAGTGTCTGGGATCTTATCCAGTGGATGCCCAGAGCTTGGGTCTGGGGGATGAGGAAGGGCCAGAAGTGGGTTTAATCATCTGCCAAGGTTTGGGGACGTCATTTGCTCCCAGAGCTCCCAAGAGACTTAGGGAATGTTGTTTCCAACGCCTTTCTTCCCTTCCCAGGGGCTGCCGGGAGGCTATCAAAAGGATTGCCTATGAGTTTGTAGAGACAAAGGCCAAAGAGGGCGTGGTGTACGTGGAGGTGCGCTATAGCCCGCACCTGCTGGCCAACTCCAAAGTGGAGCCAATCCCCTGGAACCAGGCTGAGTGAGTGATGGCCCAGGAAGAGCAGTGCTGAGGGTGTGGCTGGGAGGCCCTGAGTCTGGTAGGGCAAACTGCTGGTCCCTGACCCAAGCAAGACCTTGCTCTTGCCCCTGCCCCTAGTCTGGTCCATGGGCTCAGAAAGATGGGTTTAACTGTCACAAGAGACGTGGTTCCAATCTCGCTTTGGAATTGTACTCTTACCTTGGGCACAAGTGTTTGGCTGTGTCTTGCAACCCACAGCTCTGGCCACAGGCCTGCTGTCCAGGAATGTTAACCTGCTTAGCCAGCAACTTCTAAAGGTCCTGCTCTAACTTCATAACTGGAGTGAGTCTGGCCCATTTCCAGCCCCCTGCCTGGACCCCCACAGATCCCTAAGTGGTATCACAGAACCACCCTGCCCCATTTTCTGAGCCATGATTCTGACACATATAGAGAGTGAACGTCATGCCAGTCCCAAGCTTAGCAATGCTCTCCCTATGGGGGTGAGGAGGGCTGTGTGGACACCACACACCTCCCACTAAGATCGAGGGGCACCCAGATGCTATAAGGGCCAGAAGGGACATGCTAGGGCTTGGGGGTGTCTCTGCCAGTCTTTCCTCTGAGGCAGTGGGTCAGTGCGGGATGAGGGTCCTCCCCAGAGCCTCCTCTTCCTCCTCTGTCCCAGTCCCAAAGCTGCCCTTTGGCCTTCCCTTTGCCTCAGGCCCATCCCTACTCCTCTCCCCACACAGAGGGGACCTCACCCCAGACGAGGTGGTGGCCCTAGTGGGCCAGGGCCTGCAGGAGGGGGAGCGAGACTTCGGGGTCAAGACCCGGTCCATCCTGTGCTGCATGCGCCACGAGCCCAGTGAGTAGGATCACCGCCCTGCCCAGGGCTGCCCGCCTGACCCTGGTCCTGACCTCCTGGCCTAGCACCCCCATGACCTGACCTCCCCTGTGCCCCACACCCCCATGGTGTCCCCTGGAGCCCACTGTCAGGAACTCGGGGCTTCCTGAAATGACTGGAGACCTCCTAGGCAGGCTCAGAACTTCCTAGAGACATACTTTTCTCTCCAGGGATGCCATGCCTTTATAGCCACCCTGCTGGAAACTCAACACCAAATAGGAGGTCAACTATTGAAAACAAAAATCTAGGCCAGATTCTAATCAGCCCATGTTCCTCCCTTGAGACCCCGTGGACCAGGCCCCATCCTGTCTGGGCCACAGAAATCATGAATAGGTCTGATTTCCCAGATTTCTGATCTCAAGTTTGTGCCTCGTGGTGCACAGCCTCACTGTGTGACTTTGGGCAGGTCACACCAACTCTGGTTGTGCACTGAGACACCTCAGTTGTGCACTGTCATAAGGAGATGATCACACTTACCTCATTCCTTTACCCCCAGGATTAGTGAGAACCAAAGCTACCTGCACGCATCTCCTCTAATCCTTACAGCAGGCTGTATAGTAGAACTACCATTGCTTATTCCCATTTGACAGATGAGGAAATTGAGGGGGAGTGAGGTGCAGCCTCTTGGAAGGCATGAACCCTGGATTTGCATCCAGGGACATCTAGTTCCAAAGCCTGTGTTCATTCTTTTTTAAACACTTTGTAATAACTTTATTAAGAGTAAATAATACATTAGCAATATGCCTCATAGTACTCACAAGTTCTGTCTTAGACGACAAGTTACACCGTCCTTCATTTCCTCATCTGCGCATGGGAGTAAGCCTACCATGAGCACTGTTGGAAACACAGGTGAGAGAAGGGTCTGTGTGTCATTTACTGAGCTCAGACCCTGTCGGTGGTGCTTTACACACATGGCCTCGGCAAAGCCTTGCCACGACCCTGTGCAGTAGCTGGCAGTGTTCTTTCTGAAAAGGGTGGAAACTGAGGCGCTACATAGCAGTTTTCCGCAGGCCATGTGGTTAGGACGTAGCACAGGATTTGAAGACACTGAGCTCTGTTATGTGTTGGTCTCCCATGGGGGGGTGGTGGGGGGGTTGGGTAGGACAGCAGGCAGGTGGTGGGGGGGTTGGGTAGGACAGCAGGTAGGTGGGCAGGGAGGTCTCTCCATGGTGCTGATCATAGAGCCTGGGTGGGCACCTTGCCCACAGACTGGTCCCCTGAGGTGGTGGAGCTGTGTAAGAAGTACCAGCAGCAGACCGTGGTGGCCATTGACCTGGCTGGAGACGAGACCATCCAAGGAAGCAGCCTCTTCTCTGGACATGTCCAGGCCTACGAGGTGGGTCCTGTGAGAGGGAATGGAGAGGCTGGCCCTGGGTGAGCTTGCCTCCCACCGTTGGGAGAAATCACAAGAACCAGGGAGCATGGGGTCTCCTGAATTCTGAAGTGTGTCTTAAGGCATGAAACTGGAAGTCCCCCAGGCCAGGAATGGTGGTTCATGCTTATAATCCCAGCACTTTGGAAGGCTGAGGGAGGAGGATTGCTTGAGCACAGGAGTTTGAGACCAGTCAGGGCAACATAGTGAGACCCCATCTCTGCAAATATAAAAAAATTAGGTATGGTGGTATGTCCCAGCTACTTGGGAGGCTGAGGTGGGAGAACTGCTTGAGTTCAGGAAGTCGAAGCTGCAGTGAGCTGTGATTATGCCACTGCACTGGGTGACAGTGGGAGACCCTGTCTCAAAAAAAAAAAAAAAAAAAGAAAGAAAGAAAAGAAGGGAGGGAGGGAAAGAAAAAGAAAGGAAAGAGAAAAAAGCCTCACTTGGTGTTGGGAGTCCTGTTTGAGCCTGCTTCTAGCTGTGATCTAAGCAAGACCCTGGGCAAGACTGTCTTCTCTGGGCCTCTGGTTCTTCTATTGGGATGACTGAGTTAGAGCCGATATCTCAAAAGCCCCTTCCAGCCTAATGATGAATGTGCTTCCTGTGGAAGGGGAGCACCATGGTGGTGAAGGGTCAGGGTTCTGGAGTCCCACTGCCCGGGCTCACCTTGGTTCCACACTTCCTGTCTGACCGTAGTCATGTTGACTCACCTGAGCTTCAGTCCCCCATCGTAAAATGGGTGAGGTAATAGTTGTGAATATTAGATAATGTACACAAGTCACTTCATATACTGCCTGACACATGGTAACTGGCTAATAAGTGACAGCCACCACTTAAAGACTTGGGGGGTAAAAGACAGGTTTCCCCATGCTGTTGAAGGAGGCAGCCTGACTGTGGGATGGTTCAAGCTCCACAGCGTGGTCAAGGCAGGGCCTGCAGGGGCCCTCCCTCTAGGGCACCCATGACCTGACCTGGCTCTACCCCTTCCAGGAGGCTCTGAAGAGCGGCATTCACCGTACTGTCCACGCCGGGGAGGTGGGCTCAGCCAAAGTGGTAAAAGAGGTGAGGACCTGGGCTGGCCATGGGGTCCTTCCTGTTTCCTCCCATACTTGGCTCCATTCTGCTTCTCTACAGGCTGTGGACATACTCAAGACAGAGCGGCTGGGACATGGCTACCGCACCCTGGAAGACCAGGCCCTTTATGACAGGCTGCGGCAGGCAAACATGCACTTCGAGGTGAGCGGGCCAGGGAATGGGGAGGAACCATCCCCGGCTGTCCCTACTTCCTGTATAGAGAGGCAGAAAGCAGGGTGGGTCCCTGGAGCTAAAGGGGTGGCCCCAGGCCCAGACATGGGGGGGAGGGATCAGCATGGCCTGGGCCATCCCTGCCAGCCACACACCTGCTCTTCCAGATATGCCCCTGGTCCAGCTACCTCACTGGTGCCTGGAAGCCGGACACGGAGCATGCAGTCGTTCGGTGAGCTCTGGTCCCCTATTCAGTTATGTTCCAGGAAGGCCAAAGAGGGAGGAAACTGTAGGAAACAGGCATCAGCCCACGCCGGGTCTCTTAGCTATGAAATCTCTTTGACGCCCTGGGAAGCAGGCATTGCTGTCCTCATCTTACAGACGAGGAATCCAAAGCCAGATGTGCTGTGGCTTGACTGGGATTAACCAGCAGAGCTGGGGCCTTACAGCTCATTCAGCTGCAGCAGAATGCTCTGCTGCTCTGAGGAAAGCTTCCACACTTCCAATTCCCCCAACTCCGCCTCCTGGGCATCACGTAGGAAGCAGGAATCTCTCCTGCCAGTATGTTTTCTGTACTTGGCACCCCTGGGCATTCCCCTGAATGCCATCTTAAAGCTTTCCACTGGAGGGTCTGTTCCATCCTCCCTGGCTCCCATCTGTAGTCTAACCAGGGCCAACCCCTAGGAGTAATATCAGGCCAGCACTGATCCATCTGCCAAGCTTATGAGAAGAGGAGGGGCTTGGGCTCTGATGTTCTGAAGACAAGGGGGTCTTGAGGCTTGCCTTAGGAACATGTGGCACCTGTGGAGGTTCTTGGAGGCATGTGGGTACACCATGGGCTGGAAAAAGATCCAGGAGTCATCTGCACAGATATGGTGGTTGAAGGAGCAGTAGCCCCAGGAGGTGGTATAGCAAGAGGGCCTAGGATAGAACCCAGAAGGACAATGATATTTAAGGGACCAGCAAAAGAGACAAGTAGGAGGAAAGTCCAAAGTGTGGTGTCAGAGAAATCTAGGGAAACAGTTTCAAGAAAGAGTCAGCATTGTTAAATTCTGCTATAGGAGTCAATTATGGTCAGAGCTAGGAAAGATCATTAAATATAAGATGATGGTCAGGGATCGTGCTAAGAACAGCTTCCGTGGTATGTTGGAATAGCCCACTCCCAGTGGGACTGAGGAAAAGGCAGGGTAGGGTGCAGAGGGGAAGGTTAGAGAGGGTGGCAGCTGGAGGAGGATGCTACTTTTTTGGCTTCCTCCCCCCACCACCACTGGTCATCATTCTGCATGGTTCTCACGTCTGGCCCCTCTGCTGCCTTTGCCCAGCTCTGGTCTGCAGGATGGGTTGGAGTCTGGAGTTTCCGGTTACATAGCCTTGGGCAAGTCATGGACAAGTCACCTGAGTTCTCTGAATTTATTTCCCCCTCTGCCCAAGGATCAGCTCTTTCAGATCTGTTTGAGGCTGCTGTGAGGATCAAAGGCGGGTGCACATCAATGTGCTCTGACTATGTAAGAGTAAAAGGAGGATCGTTCTCTCCCCTTCCCCTCCTGCAGTCTCAGAAATGACCAGGCTAACTACTCACTCAACACAGATGACCCACTCATCTTCAAGTCCACCCTGGACACTGATTACCAGATGACCAAACGGGACATGGGCTTTACTGAAGAGGAGTTTAAGAGGCTGGTGAGTGGGTGTGAGCCATACTGGCCTTGACTAAGGTTTGGGAGTATGAGATTTACAGGTCCTGCCGAGGGCCTGGAACCTTTGGGGAGAGGGAGCAAGTTTGCCTGAACAGTCCAAGACAAGCCCAACCTAGACACTTACAGAGAAGACATCTTTGGGTTGATGTCCTGACCTAGGACCAGGTTTTTGATCCTTTGCTTGGGTTGAGTACCTTTAAAGAATCCAATGAAAACTGACAACCATCTCCCCAGAAAGGTGTGTCTTTCTGGGTGAAAGTCACATGTCTTTCTGGGTGAAAGTCATCCAGCGATGAAGTCTTGCGTGCTCTCTTCAGGTTGTTCTTAGATCCCAGGCTGAGTCTGTTCCTGCAGGTGTCTTTGGGGTATTTCTGCCCCCCTCCATGCCACCCCGTCTCAAAGGTTTCCCCAACTTCCTTCTCGCAGCCCTTTATCACATAATGACACATTAAAAACAGGACCCCATGGTCTCCACTCTGGCATTTGCTGCTGTGTGACAGTGGACAAATCCCTCCCCTATAAGCATACCTGCCCATGTTCAGTGAAGAGGATGGACTATCACTACATTGCAAGAGCTGCCTTCTTTGTTCTCTGATTCCATGTTGTCTGGATTCTGGCCCTTCCAGAACATCAATGCAGCCAAGTCCAGTTTCCTCCCAGAAGATGAGAAGAGGGAGCTTCTTGACCTCCTCTATAAAGCCTATGGGATGACACCTTCAGCCTCTGCAGGTAGGTTCCTATCTGGGCTTTCTGTGGGACTTCTAGCAAGATGCTCTTCCTTTCTTGGGCAGCGCCAAGAAGCTGTGATGACTCCCTGGTTTCTGGGCCCTGGCCGGGAGCAGGGTCTCATTAGATTGGCTTGTTTTCCATATAACTTCTTGAGAGGCTGTTTGAAGGGGGGACTTTCTGAAGCCCAGTCCCAAAGATCTGGGGATCTTGGGACATCGCCATGGCTGCCCAAAGCCAAGGGCAGGGAGTCGGGCCCAGGCTTGTTCTGCTCCTTTCTACCACTGTGGTCCTGGCATGGCATCCCTGCCATCAGTAGGAAGTTCTTTTCTGGTTCTGGTGTCCTATGATTTTTACAACATCCTGGGTACTGCAAGTTGCCTGATTTTTCTGCTTCTCTGAACCAACGAGCAGGGCAGCACCACTGAGGACGCCACTCCTCCAAGCCTTCACCCTGCGGAGTCACCCTAGCTCTGTGGTGCTGAGCAACATTCTTAAATGTATTCCTTCCAAGAAGACCATGATCTCGATGGTCAGTTACTGATGCTCCTGAAGCCTGTGTGTCCATTTCTGCATACACGTGTACCTCGGCATGGCTGCATCACTTCTCTGATCATGTGCCCTGGACAGGGATCAGCACCCTTGCACACGGGTATGGTTGAATCTAAACCCCTCCTTCTGTGGCAACTTGTACTGAAAAGCTGGTGCTCAATAAAGAAGCCCATGGCTGGTGTCATGCAGCAGGTGGCATGTAATTTGGTCTTGGGCAGGGTGAGAATGGAAGGAGCTAGGTCAGCCTGCTCAGTAGCAGGGCTTGAGCCCAGGGAAGGCTGTGAATGCTAGGCCAGAGCTGCTAATGCTGTGGGCCAAGAGGGGTCCAGAGACTGTCCTCCTTCCAGAAGAAACAAGGCTTCTCTGGTTGTCTGCTCAAACATTCCCTCAACTCTGAGCCCCTCCTAATTCTAGAATTTAAGGAGTAAACCTTGCTTTTGAGTTCCTAAAACTGGCAGCTGGGGTGACAGCAGACAAGATGGAAGAGGGCTCATCAGACACTGGGCCTCGGAGTGGTGCTGGCCTCTGTGGAGCGCCGCATCGTCTCAGAATCTTACCCTCCAGAAGCCTGGGGCAAGTCGGCTAATTGTGGACTCAGGGAAAATAAGGCCCAACGCTGTTTTTGCTGCTTTAAGGAGAAATAATCTTAAACCAGTCACACAAATCATCAGCATTTATTTCCTGGGTCCTAGGTGTCACTTATCCTGGTAGAAAGGGCAGAGGTGGTCAAATAGTTTTGAGCCCAAATCCCTTTCCTAAAAATGGATCTGTGAAGCTCCATGAGGGAACCTCAGAGCTGCACAGACAATGAGAGTTTAGTTAAAATGGCTTAAAAAAATGTGGATTGTCAGCTCTCTCTGTCTCTGCTGAAAAAAGGTTTAAAATTTTTAAAAAGTTTAAAAGTGATTTCTAAAAAAGGGACAAGAAGGTCTTGACCCAGAAGGTTGGGGTTGGAAAGGAGGTGTTGGTGTTGGGACAGGGACCCTGCCCAGGCTGCTCGCGAGAGGAACGTTCCTACATGGGCTGCTCACTGTAGGGCAGGGCCCTGCCCAAGTCCCGGCACCAGCTCAATAAATAACATTTGTGGTTACAGTGTCTTGAAAGTGTACCTGGGAACAGTGAGAAGGTGGTGGGAATGTGGAGCCTGTGGGTGTGGGCAGAGGGCTTTCCCGGAGTGGAGGCCACAGAGGCCTCTTGGGAGCCTTCTCAGTCTGGCCTGATTTATCTGGGACATGGGGCTCAGAGAAGAGGCTGCTGGGCCAGTGCCAGGGTTCCCCCTCTGGGAGGGGACAGAAGGTATCTCGTCCAGCCTACTTGGACGAGATCAGACTCAAGACGAGGTGGTCCCATCGCTGCTCTGGGGCTGGTTGCCGGCTTCCTTGTCTTGGGCACTTCCCTCCACCTGTCCTTCTGGAGAGGAGAGAAAGGTTTTTCTTGGGCACATATACACAAAGTAAAGCACAGAAGGGGGTGTAAAAGGGCCCAGCCAAATCAATCACAATGGATATGCCCTGGGGAGCAAGACAGGAGCTGGACTGGGGTGGTAGTGACCAATGGGACTTTGCCCTGGTCTGTAACATCTTTTTACATGGAAATGCATGTGCTGTTAGTATAATTAAAAGTCAATTGAGGGCCATTTTGGATGGGTGCTTAAAGCATCTTGAAGGTCATTTTATTTGTGCAGGTTCCCAGAGGGGGAGGCCAAATGTTAAGTCCCCAGAGTGTAACAGGTGCTCAGCAAATGGCAGCTGTTCTTCTAAGACAGTAAAGAGCCCTGAACCAGGCCAGCTCAGGGAGTGCTAGGGTGTGGCCTGCATTAGGCCTGTGGCTGCCAACTGTGCAGCATGGGGTATGTGCTGGGACCCCTCCCCAAACCCGTCCTGCCGGACACCTTGGCAGCCTGAAGGACAGCAGCAGGCTCACAGAGGGGGAGCACCTCCCCAGGGAGGCAGGGTACAAGCCGGATCGCCACTCTCAGCTTCCGTTGAGCCCCACTGTGCAAGGTGGTTCAGGCAGCCCCTACCACCCACTGTACCAGCTGTGCAGGATGAGGGAAATACCAAACTCACACCCAGGCCCCCAGTCTCCATGCCCTCCTCCTCAGGCTTCATGATAAACATAATCTTTTTCACAAGGTGCCCCCACATGGGGCCTGGCATGTGAGCAGAGTTCTATCAGTAGTGCATTCTTAAACCCCAGTGACACTGTGCAAGCTCACTGACAGACTGAGTTCAAATCCAGCCCAAACAGACCACACCTTTGCATCCTTCAGGCTAAGCCCTTCACAGGACCAGGAGAACCACCACCCTATGCCTAGCTCCAGGGTCTGCAGACAGATGGGCACTTTTTCTTGCAATGCACACAGTAACATGGAGGTATAATGAGGGTCATGATATGCACAAGAAAACCGAGGCTCAGCAAGGTGAGCTGATTTGCCTGGATCAAGGGTGGAGAGCCCTGCTTGCCACCAAGGCCAATACCTCTTCTACCAAATGTCACCTCTTCCAATAAGCAGCATCCCTGAAGGTTTACAGAGGCCTGGCGTCATCAGCACTGCCTCACTGTGCCCTGCAGCAAGCTAGGAAGTGGGTGGTAGCTCAGTACCCTATCCTGGGAAGCCTGCTCTTATTCCCAGTGGGGCAGCACCTGGAACTCTGTACTCCCCCTGCCTTGAAGAATCTGCTGGACTGAGCCTGGCCCACAGCCCTGCCCGTGGAAACAGAACTGCTCACTGTGGCCTCCTGGAAGGCTCCCTGGCCAGTTGCTCTTGCCTGGACACCACCATGAGTGTTTCGTTTCCTCAGCTCCCCTTTTTAAATGTCAATCACCCTGGCAGGCAAACGTCATGTACGCAGAGGAACCCCACTGTAGGGAATCTGAGTCAGGGAAAACAGTTGTTAGGAAGGCCTAGGCACATGGGCCAGCAGCTCCAACTGCTGAGGTGTAGAGGGAGACAGAAACAAGTTCACGAGAGCTGAGGGTGAGGACACAGAAGCCTTGAGACACAGCCCAGGGCAGTGTGCCCAGTGTGGCAGCTGGACATGCTGGTCATTCAGTCAGTCAATGAACAGCCATTGACTTGGCACTGAGGGCACAGGACACAGAGCCTGTGCTGAAGAAGCTCCATCTAGAGCAGGGCACTATGCTCAATGGGCTCATGGAGACCGATCATGGAGGTGTCTGGCAGGGGCACCTGCGGTCAGGGAAGGCTTCTCAGCTGAGCAGATGCCTGGGTCTCTGAGAATGAAGAGAGGTCAGCCAGGCAAGGGGAGCGAGGGAGAAGCAAACAGAGGAGCAGTATGTGAAGGCCCACAGGGGCTTCTGAGCGATCAAAGTACTTTACTCTGGTTAATGAGAGTTGAGGCTGGAGAGGTGAGCAGGGTGAGCCCCGTGGAGGTTCTGCCTGGGCCACCTGACAGAGGAGGACTAACAGACCACGGAACAGGGAAGGCTTGGGGGATGAGGTTCCGTTGACAGGTGCTGGGGACTCGCAAGGTGGCCAGATTCTCATTCTATGTTAACTTCCTGGTGGCCCTGAGCAAGTCCCCCAACTTCTCTGGCCTCAGTTTGTCCATCTATAACATGAGAGGGCTGGTCCATGCCCCTGCAAAGCCTTCTCTGTTCCGTACTTTTAGTTCACTTCTGGCCAGTGAGGCCCAAGAAGACTGGAGCTCCCCAGGGAAAGGTAGGCTGTGACCCTCCAAGGACAGCCCCGGGGGAACAGACGCAGCCTGACAGCTGTGCTGTGATGAGACACACATCCTCTGTGGTGCTGCAGGAGCAGGAGGGAAAAGGCCTCAGCCAGTGCAAGGGTCAGGGAAGCTTCCCAAGGAAAGTCCCAGGCTGACCGTGGACTTGAGCCAAGGGGTTCTCTGGGTAGTGGAGGGAGGGCGGGGGTGTCCCAGTCAGTACTTGGGTGTGTGGATGCTGTTTCCTTTTGTCATTCAGTCTGTGGTTACCAAGCACCTCCTGTGCGCCAAACAGAACACAAGGCCTCTGCTCTCCTGGCACTCACATTTGGCCACATGAGACCTTGTCAGAGAGTGGTGAGGGTCACGTGATTGGGAAAGGGTGATCTAGCAGTCAGAAAAGGCCCCTGGAGAGGCTTGACTGAGAAACAGACCAAAGGTGGATGTAGCTGGAGGGTGGCAGGGAGAGAAGTGGCATCATCAGGTGAGACTCGGGCAGGGCCCGGCCTACAGCAGGACTGCCCCAGGGCACTGTGACAAGCTTAGCTTCACTAAGTGACACACGCGGGAATTTTTTGGCAGAAGCATGAAGACAGAATGGTTTAAACGAGGGCTGCCAGCTGCTGCATCGAGCTAAACAGGAAGGGCAGAAATGGGTGCAGGCAGGCCAGCGGGGAGGCCGCTATAGTCAGCCAGGTGAGAGCTGTGAGTGGCCAGAGCCAGCTATGGCTGTGGGGGTGGCGAGAAGTGGAAGGACCTGGGATGTACCTTGGAGGAGAACTGACAGGACTTATGGGTGGATTAGGGGGCAGGGGGACAGGAAGAGCCCTGGATGCCCGGCCAGAAAGTCCTTGGAGTCTGAGACTCAAACATCTTCCAATCTAGAGACTGCTGGACTCAGTCACTGGCCATGGGACAGGCCTGATTTAAATGCGGTTTCTTCTCTAGGAAAGTGTGGGCAGTCTAGGACTTGGAGGCCAGCCCGGGGCTGGGCAGAGGGCCTCTGGCATGCAGGAATGCCAAGGACCTGCTGGCTCTTACCTGCCCCCTCAAGTGCTAGCTCGCCCATGTCTCCAGCCAGCTTCCTCACGCTCACAGCCTCTGAGTCTCCCTGGATGTCGGGGACCGCATTCCGACGGCCTGTCCGGTCACAGGAGATGAAGTCCGAGTAGGAGGACTCGACCTCCATCATGCCTGTCGCATCGCTCCTCAAGCCTGTGGGGACAGGAGGCAGGGGGCAGAGATAAGTCCAGATGCATTCTGCACAGAGGACAGCTCCAGTTCCCCAGCACAGGTGGCTTCTGTCAAAATGACAGTTATTGCCTCTCAATGAAAACAAAGCAAAAAGCACAGAAAAGTACAAAGAACAAGTTACTCATAATTCCACACCCAGACAACCACCATCAACATTTTGAAGAACATGGGTTCAGACTTTTTTGAGATGGAGTTTCCCTTTTGTTACCCAGGCTGGAGTGCAATGGTGTGATCTCGGCTCACCGCAACCTCCACCTCCTGAGTTCAAGCAATTCTCCTACCTCAGCCTCCCGAGTAGCTGGGACTACAGGCGCGCACCACCATGCCCAGCTAATTTTTGTATTTTTAGTAGAGATGGGGTTTCACCTTGTTGACCAAGATGGTCTCTATCTCTTGACCTCGTGATCCACCTGCCTCGGCCTCCCAAAGTGCTGGGATTATAGGTGTGAGCCACTGTGCCCGGCTCATACTTTTCTTTAAGTAAAATTATTGACAAACATGTATATACATTTATCCATACCACATGCCAGGCACTGGCCATAGACTGCAGATGCCGCTATGAAGAGGTTGGCCATGGTCTCTGACCTCACAGAGCTTACCATCTACCACAGGTGGCATAAAATCACCTTAGACCTAAGACCTGGCCTTGGTGTGCAGGGTTTCAAGGGAGAATGCAGGCTGCTGGCGTGATCACTAGGGCTTGGCCAAGGCTGAGGGTCACGAAGTGACATTTTAGTTGAGAACCAAGGATGACAAGGCTTCATGTAGATGAAGAGTGAGGGAAAGAGCATTAAAGAGAGGGGAAGAGCATGTGTGCAGGTTCCGAGGAAGGCAGGCATGGGGGCTTGGAAAAACAAAGAGCCAGCAGGCAGGAGTATGGCAGAAGAGGGACAATGACAACAAGGACACTGCTGAGGTAGGCAGGGGCCAGACCACATCTGGAACTTGGTCCCTGAGGGGCTTTAGGCCAGGTCATGAAGGAGCAGCTGTGCATTTTCAAAGATGACTCCAGCGTTCAGGCAGAGCGTGCTGGGAAGGGGCAAGTTAGGAGGCTTCTGCAGAAGTTCAGACGCCAAGATGGTGGGTGGAGGAAGGTGGTGGTGGGGATTCTAGATGTAACTTGGAAATCAAACTAGCAAGATGTAGTGTTGGACTGCTGGGTAATTGATGTGAATAAAGGTGAACAGATGTGTGGTTTGCTGACATGAATAAGAACAGAGGAGGAATATTTGGGGGCATAAAGTCCTATTTGGCCACAGTGGCGCTGATATGCCTGTGAGCCCTCCAAGGGGAGAGGTAGAGCCTTAGGTACATGGAATGAGAAGGCTGGAGCTCAGAAGAGAGGTGGAGTGGGAGGAAAGATATGAAATTAGTAGTTCTTACTACAGAGATGGCAGTTAACAGCCCTAGTGGTTGGTAACACAGCCTAGAGAGAGAAGAGGCCACATATATAAAGAGCCACAGAGATTCAGAAATGATTTGGGGCCATACTTTATGTTGTGTTTTATAGCCTACTCTCTGGGATGCTTTAGAACATGTCGCTAAGGCTCCCTCCACATGGGTTTTGTGCCAGCATACTTGGATGGGCCATGATTTACTCTAGGATCAGTCCTCCAGAAATGAACATGGAGGTACTTTCCAGTTTTCTACCACCATATACGGCACGGGGCCTTTATGTAAGTCTCTGTGCCCATCCCTATTTCCTGAGAGTATATGCCTAGAATTGCTGTGCTAAAGGGAAGGGTGAAGGAATTTTTAGACTTCTGACACACTTCCAAGTTGCTTTCCCAAATGGCACAGTGGTATTTATGACAAAAAATTGGCAGAAAGACTTATAAAGTCAGTACTGTTTTTATTTATATTCCCACCAGTAGCACACAGGTTGTCTATCTGTACTCTAGGCAACAAGAAGTACCGCTACTATATTAATAAAAGGTTAATTTGCTAAGGGGATACTAGCATCTCTCTCATTGAGTGCCTATGGTTTTCTGAAGGCAATTAAGAAGCAGTCACTGTATGAACTCTGGCTACCTGACAGACCTGAATTAGGAAGTGGGAGGGGTGGTCTAAGCACTGGTCTGACTTGAGGAGTTCACAGTCCAGTGGGGTGGGCCCAGCAAATCCTAGTTCTAGACCCACTCAGGCAAATGCCCAGTGTTTTCTACAGTGTGAGGATGTCTATTGCACCTGGTCAGTAATAGCAACCTATAGGAAACCACCCAAATGTCCACCAGGAGGTTAGGCATTGTGTGAATTATGAAGTATTCATAAAAAAGAAACTTGCTGGGCAGGGTGTGGTAGCTCATGCCTGTAATCCCAGCACTTTGGGAGGCCGAGGTGGGTGGACCACCTGAGGTCAGGAGTTTGAGACCAGCCTAGCCAACATGGTAAAACCCCGTCTCTACTAAAAACACAAAAATTAGACTGGCATGGTGGTGTGAGCCTGTAATCCCAGCTAGTTGGGAGGCTGAGGCAGGAGAATCACTTGAACCTGGGAGGCAGAGGTTGCAGTGAGCTGAGATTGCGCCACTGCACTCCAGCCTGGGTGACAGAGCAAGACTCCATCTCAAAAGAAAAAAAGAAGAAACGTGCCATACAGCCACTATGGAAAACAGTATGGAGGGTTTCTGAGAAAATTAAAAACAGAACTACCAGATAATCCAACAATCCCACTACTAGGTATATATCCAAAGGAATGACATTGGTATGTCAAGAAGACATCTGCCTCCTATGTTTACTGGAGGACTATTTATACCAGCCAAGACATGGAATCAACCCAAATGTCCAACATGAGTGAATGGATACAGAAAATGTATGTATATGCAAAGGAATACCATTTAGCCATAAAAAAGAATGAAATTGTCATTTGGGACACCATGAATAAACTTGGAGGACATAAAGTGAAATAAGCCAGATACAGAAAGACAAATATGCATGATTTTATTCATATATGGAATCTTTAAAAGAAAGTATTATAGAAACAGAGAACAGTGGTTATCAGAGAATAGAGAGGGAAGAGGAGAGAAAAGGATGGAAAGTTGGTCAACAGGTACATAGTTACAGTTAGATAGGACAAATAAGTTCCTGTTCTATTGCACAGTATGGCGATGGTTAACAATAAGGTATTCTAGGCCGGGTGAAGTGGCTCACATCTATAATCCCAGCACTTTGGGAGGTCAAAGTGGGTGGATCACCTGAGGTCAGGAGTTCAAGACCAGCCTGGCCAACATGGTGAAACCCTGCTTCTACTCAAAATATAAAATTAGGTGTGGTGGCACACATCTGTAATCCTAGTTACTCTAGAGGCTGAGACAGGAGAATCACTCGAACCCAGGAGGTCGAGTTTGCAGTGAGCTGAAATTATGCCACTGCAGCCTGGGCAAGATAAAGCATTCTATATTACAAAATAACTAGAGAGGCTTTGAATATTCTCATCAGAAAGAAATTATAAATGCACGGGATAATGGATAAGCTAACTGCCCCAATTTGATTATTATACAACATATATGTATCAAAACATCAAGTTGTACCCCACAAATATGTACAATGACACGTCAGTAAAAAAATAATAATAAAGTAAGAAATGTGCCAGATGGACCTGTACTGACATAAGACGATGTCTGAGATAAACTGGCAATTGAAAAATGGAGGTTGCAAAACACCAAAAATAAAACTCAGTTCCTGTGGGGAAAGACAGCAGACATAAGAAAAAAAATCTGAAAAAACATGCATCAACCTTGTCAATTGTGGTTGTTTGTGATTAAGGGGAACTTTCATTTTCTAAGTCTATATTTTTTTCAATGGTTGAAGTTTTTATAAACCCAAATTATTATGCAAGGCTTTTATAAGGTAGCTGACATTGGCAGGAAGTACCCAGAAAGCAACTAGGGTGGGACTGAGCCAGTAAGTGCTGTAGAGGGGTGTGTGTGTGTGTTTGTGTGAGAGAGAGAGAGAGAAGAGGAAGATCATTATGGAGGGTTGGGCCCATATCCCCCGACAACACCTAGTGTGTGTGTGTGTGTGTGTGTGTGTGTGTGTGTGTGTGTGAGAGAGAGAGAGAGAGAGAGAGAGAAAGAGAGAGAGAGAGAGAGAGGAGAGGAGGATCAGTATGGAGGGTGTGTGTGGGTGGGGAAGAAAGAGCAATTGAGAGAGGAGAGGAGAAGAGGATCAGTATGGAGGGCTGGGCCCACATCCCCCCCAACACCTAGATCAGAGGAGACACCTAAAGAATGAATTAGGGGCACTCAAAGATCAGATACCTGAGACAGGGAGGTGTCCCATGGTAGAAAGAGCAAAGAATGAGACACGTGACCTTAAACCCAAGCTCTGCCACCAAACCCTGGGCAAGACCCTGCCTTTCTTCGGGCCTTCGTTTCCCTTGTATAAAATAGAGGAGGCCAGGACACTGTCCACAGCAATTCCCCCTGGCTGCAGCAGATGGCGCGCCCTGCCTATCTTCCTAGTGGCCTTGAGCACTGCCCTAGTCATGTTCCGCCTCCTCCTTGACTAAAAGAATTCTCAGAAGTTCCAGAGGTGGCTCCTTCTGCAGATCACAGAGGTTCACTCCTGTCCTCTCCCTCTGGGAAAACTGCTCGGTGATTCAGGACAGAGAAATGGCTTATGATAATAACAGTAATAACAGGATAAAAATGATGCCGAAATTATTCCTGCATTAAGAAAGGTACCACGGACCAGGTGCCGGTGTTTTCACACACATCATGCACTCAGTGGCCACAGCTGTCCTCTGAGGTGAGTGGGGCTGGTTTAGAGCAACAGCTCAGAAAGGCCTCAGCCCCACCTGAAACCCACTGCTCTGGGGAGGGACAAATGCTGAGCAGGCCACGCCGGCTCCTGGAGCCTCCAAGTCCTCAGCTCTTTTCCTCAGTTAGAATGTCAGCTCCACGGGAACAGGAATTTTGTATGGATTTCTCCCATGTCCAGCTGAAACCTAATCCGGGTAG